GCGAGCGCCGCGCTGAGCATCGGCAGCAGGCACGGCGCGAGCGGGACGTAGACGCCGACGTGGCGCGTCAGGTGCAGCAGCGCCCGGCAGATCTGCAGGTGGAACGGGTACGAGCGCGCGGTGCGGACGAGCCTGCGCGGGGGCACACAAGGTCAGCGGTCGCGTTGGGCAGGTAGCGGTGCGGCGGCGTACTTGATTGCTCCGAGCGACACCTGCACGAGGGGGTACACGAGCGGCTGCAGCTCGCTCTCTTCGCCGCCCCGCGCCGCCGACGCTTGCCTGTCGCACGCTCTGGCCAGCACGAGAGCCCAAAAGTCGACAGAGTGCGCGTATTGCCAGTTGTACACCTGCTTGTACGCGTCCTGGGGTCCCGCGCCGCCGCCGTCAGCATGCGCGAAAGGCGAGCAAAAGGACGAACCTTGGTCTTCGTCTTCATGCTGTTGCGCAGGTGGATTGCCAGCTGCCGGATGTAGCCAAAGGCATGCTGGTACGCCGCCGCCTGGTCCATGCTGTAGATTTCCGACGCAGAGTTCTTCATGAGCGTGATGGACGGCAGTGTGTGTGCAGTTGTGGATTTACACGACCGCACGAGCGTAAGGTAGGTATTCTGCGCAGCAAATTTTTAGGCGTGCACGACCAGAGTCTCGCAAGTGGGGATTCACCTTGAGCACCATGTCCATGATCGACTCGTCCGTGGCCTGTGCGAGCCTCCGGACGGCCAGAAACGCGGAAATCCGTACGCTGTCCTCTGCGCTCGACCACAAATCTAGGCAAGTCTGGAAAACGAGATTAACGACGAGCCAACCAGGAGCATCCCCCCAGGAGATGCACAATTTTATCTACCTTTAAATACACCTTCACCGCCTTCCGACTGCTAGTGATATATGGGACCAACTTCGCGCTCTCGCCGAGCGCGAGTCGAAGCATGTCGGTGTCAGACAGCTGAGTGAGGAGATGCATGACATTGTGGAAATACGACAAGATCAGCTTTTGCAACGTCTTCCACTTGGGCGTCTGTACAGGGGCCTTGCTGGTCGAGTAAATGCACATCTGAGTCCACTCTGTCTCATATTAAAAATATGCTTGACGTACAATTTTCCGTTGGATTGTGTCTTGTAGGGACAGTGGTGTTCGAGGACGACGGGCGTGTATTTTAGGGTCGTCGTCAGTAGCTTGTTGTATACTGATCAATGGGATCGTCTCATCGTCGTTTCTGCACCTGCACCCCGCAAATCACATACCTGAGGAATTATCAATAATCCACGCTAGCACTTGATCCTCCTCGTTCATATGAACCGCCGAGCGGAACGCAATAAGGAGCTTGCGGAGCGCGCGCAGAGACCTGTGCTGTTTACCCGCAGCGTGAGCGAGTGGAAGGAACGCGACTGACCCGGCCACGCACCTCCAGCAGCGCCTTCTGCCATCTCTGGAGGATTGCTTTCGTGAGCACGGGCGTTTTGTCCTCCCCTGCAGCTTCGCCGTCCTCCATGTCCTCGTCCTCCGCCTCATCGTTCGGATCGAATTCCAGCAGTTCTCGGTCGTTTTCCTGCAGGTACTTGTAAAACTCCGGGTCTTTCTCGGCCAGCTTGGAGAGCTCAAGCAGATGCGCTTCGCCGTCTGCCGCGGGAGGTGAGGCATATAGGAGACACGGGCTGAAGCTGGACGCACCGTCTAAATCATCGACAGACGCGAACGATTGGTCGTCGTCCTCCTCCAGCCCGCCTTCTTCGTCCTCCGAGCCCTCGTCATCCTCATCCTCGGCCTGCGCAGGTCAATAGAGGTCCACGGCTCCCGAGAGATGCATACCTCGTCTCCGGCATCGTCTTCCATGAACGCACCGCCGAGGAAGTCGTCTACCGACATCCCCTTTGACCTGCGTCCTGTCAGTATATGCCACACATAGCCCCGATCGCTCACTTTTTGGTTTTTGGCTCCTCAATCTCCTCGTCATCGCTGTCGTCACCGCCTTCTCCGACGTGAGCCGCGGCCTGCTTTCCCCTCCCCTTGCTTTGCTTTCTCCGCTCCGCCTTCTTCTTCACGTCGCGGTGTTTGCGCCGTGCTTGGATGGTCTTCTGGAGCTGGCCGCTGGCGGCGAACTTCCTAGCAGACTTGGCGACTTTTTTTCCCATGTCGGCGTGTGGATACGTGGGGACGATAGGACGCAGAGCAGGCCTACGCTCGAGTTTGAGAGTTATTGCGACCAGAACATAACGGCAAAATTGGTCTTGCATCTCGATCCGGTCACGTGAGGAGTACCATTGTGGTACTCGCCCTCAGCTGCCGCGCATAGCGACCTCTAGCGACCTCCCCTCGACCACGCATCCTCCTGGATAAACCTGGTTTTGATCTTGGACACTTGGAGATTTTCAACGTGCTTCCCTTGAGTCTATGTGATATTTGGGGAGTACGGTCTCTGATTGTCTACTGTTGCAACGCAACGCACGCCCCATCACCTTCAAGTGCGTTTGACCTACCCCGCAATACCTCTGAGCTCCTGGCTTCGTCCGTAATTCTGTTCCATCTCGGCTCAATACAGCACGAAATACTGACCTCAAGCGCGCCATGAGTGCATGCGAGTGCATCGCCTCCGCGAACGAGTTGCTGGGTGCACACTCAGCCCTGGTCTCTCGCGTTCGTGCAACGCAAAAGCACCACAGGCGGCGACTCAGACAGTTACCGTCCCCACCGTACAGTCTTCTCAATCTCCCCTTGATACCGTCGCCACCACCATCGCCGCCGCTTTCACCGCCGTCGTCGCCTCTCATACATCCCCGGTCTCGGCCCGTCCGCCAGGATCTTCCTCCTGCGAAGCGTGCGCGCGTCGCTAGATACGAGAACTATGTGCCCGAAGAAGAAACGATCCGCAACGATTACTCGCAGCGATACGTAGACGGCGGAGAGTGGCCACAGAACTGGGTGCTAGGAGCCGACCCCGAGCGGCGCTTTGAAGAGTGCGTTGTCCCGTTCTCACTGCGCATCGGCCGTTTGATTCCTTTGTACATAAAGGTATCCGAAGCAACAGCGGTTGTTGGCCTTAAAGAAGGCGTCTGTCGCGGCGCATTCGTTACCTCCCACCTATCTGCCCTATTCTGAACTATCGTCCCTGCACCCGTCCAAATTTGATGTAATCCTGATTGACCCCCCTTTCTCCTCTTCTTTTACATGGGACGATCTGCAGGAGCTCCCAATTCCGGCGTTGGCGGCCGACCCGTCCTTCGTCCTCATGTGGGTCGGCAGCGGCGCCGGTGAAGGTCTGGAACGTGGCAGGGAGGTAATGGCTAAGTGGGGTTTCCGGCGCTGTGAAGACATCGTGTGGGTCAAGACAAACCACACCACTAATCGCGGACCTGGGGTACGTGGCTCCGTATATTGATTCAAAACTAACCAGCCGTAGCAGCGACCCCTAGACAGATCCACCGACGACGTCTCTGCTCACGCGCACAAAGCAACATTGCCTCATGGGTATTCGCGGTACGGTCAGACGGTCCACGGACAGTTGGTTCGTCCATTGCAATGTCGGTAAGGCTTTCGTGGTCTTGTCCATATACCGTTACTCATCTGATCGCAGACACCGACGTATTGATTTGGGAGGGAGATGCCTCTGACCCCACTCGGAAGCCCCCAGAGATGTACACTCTGATAGAAAATTTCTGTCTTGGCCTGCGCCGACTCGAAATATTTGGGCGGGCCCGCACGCTCAGGCGTGGCTGGGTCACCGCATTAGCCGAGGGCGAAGATGAACGGATCGAAGAAGGCATGGCTGTGGATGTCGACAGCACAAACGACCCTCCAGAGATGTCGTCCCCGTGGAGCCGAGAGACCTGGGAGAGCAGCATAAGGGAGCTCTCGAACGGCGGGAAGGCCGTAGTGCCCATGACAGCGGGTACGTGGAATTTCCCGCGCTCGTTCACGTACCGGAATCTCTTACCGTCTACGACGCAGACATCGACGCCCTGCGCCCAAAGTCCCCGGTCCGCGGGTCCTCCGGCAATGCGAGCTCGGGCATGGGCCCGACTCCCGGGATGAGTCCGTCCCAGATGCCTATCAATATGCCGATGAGCGGCCAAGGAGGGAACGCTCCCCCCCGCTCCGGCTTCAACAATCCGAACAGGATGATGATGGCGCCCATGCCCATGGGCAACATGGGCGCGAACGACATGAACATGATGGGCTGGCCCGAGATGGGCATGAACGTCAACATGGGCGGGATGAACATGGGCATGAACGCGATGGGCATGGGGCTCGGGCAGCAGCAGGGGATGGGCTACGCGTCCAATCCTGCCTTTGGTGGATTCGACGGCGGCCAGATGCAGTCTGTGCCCGGTGCCATGGGCATGGGCTGGATGGGCAACGGCGACGGCCAATATATGGATCCGACTGGCGGGGTGTGGGGGGGCGGGG